AAGTGGACTTATTTTAAATTTATTTATTTTTTATTATTTTTAAAATGAAATATGCCACTTGATGCAAAACTAAGACCAAATGCTGATTCTATATTCACTACATATTTGGACACATGCTCCCAACCAAAATGTCACTCAGAAAGCAGATGAAGACTTCAGCAAATATGGATAACTTTATGACTTAAATCTGACACTCATATTCTATGTGCATGTATAGCCTCTAATTTTACTATCTGTTCCTCTGCCTTAACAGTACATCTACAGATATAAGGTAGGTCTGTGCAGTTGCAAGAGCTAGACAACCTAATATAAGTAATTTAGATTCCTTTTTAACTAATCAAAATTGTAAAGATTTCTCAAAAATTTAGTTTTGTGTGACCATTTTTAAATTATCTCTTAAACAGAAACAAACTTCAAAGATTTTTGCTTTTTATTGTTACCAGTCCTTAACAAATGGTTGACTACTTAACTTTCTTCAAACACAAAACCACTACCAGTTTTCTACAATAAGAATAATTTCCTTTTATCTTCTTATGCCTGCACCTTTGATAGAAAAAGAGTGAATAAATTCTTATGGTCTACAAAATACTCTAGGTTACATATTTCAAAATCAGGATTACCAAAACCGCTAATCAGTACCAGTGCTACCATAATTGTAAGGTATACCCAGAGAACTATTTTGACATACGCATTTTCACAGGATATATGTAAGAAAAACAAACAAAAAATAAAAATAATTGTGTATTTAGTTCATGGATGAGCAAACCACAAGTTTCTTTTCCCAGCTGTAAACAGCAATACTTCTTGTGTTACATACCTTGTGAATTATGAAAGAAACACAATGCACCTCATTAATATATCAGCACATGCAAGATTAGTAAACCTCATTCTTTTTGCAGAATTATTATATTACAACTACTACTATTTTAAGCCATACAGAGAGCAAAAGAGAACTACTTCCAGATTTCTCTGAATAGCTATTATGTCTTTTCTAGCTATACAGCCAAAAGATAAAGCAAATGCAATACCAGAAGTGGTTATCCTACAATAGTAGACTAGATTTACCAGTGTTAAGTTCTCGTTCACTACATAATTAGCATTATCCAAATGCCAATATCCTTAACAATACATAACACAAAACATGTTACAATATTGTCCTCTTGGTCTGACTATTTCTGAAGCAAACCACACTGCTTATATGAAAAGTAGAAAGATTTTCAGAGGTATGTTCTACACTGCCATTAACATAGAGCTTCATCAGGCTCAGTAACACAGGAGTGTGATGATCTTATTTCGTATTATAGAACAGATCATTTATTGAAAAATGGAGTCTTAGATGAGAAGAAGAAAGAAACTATTAAGTTGATGTGAGCAAAGGAAGCCACTTAAAGCCTAATAAATGATAACATTAAGCTATTGAGCATCCACTTAAGTTTAACTGCGGCAGTGCACAGAGGGCACAAGGGCTCAGGTGGCTGGACAGAAAGTTCAGTTCTGTTCTTTGCACCAAAGCATAAGCCAACTATGCCAAACCACTGGCAGGGAAGGTCAATTACCCAGACTCTCCCAGATCTATGATTTTTTGAAGTTTGACAAACCTGTACAGAATCCAAAAGCAGTTACAGAATCCAAAAGCAGTTATCTTACTTCATACAAATCTCTGAATTCATAATAAATTTACAAATTTAAAAAAAACAAAACAAAACAAAACAGTTCTCAGAACTTTTTTCTCTTCTGGAAACAATATGTAGTTGGAACTTAAAGTGAAAAGTTTTACTGGTGTCATCAGTATGATACAGAGAGAAAACTACTACACTGGGAAAAAAAAAAAAAGTACAAACTGCAACTGCATATAGAATATTATAAAGTATAAAGCAAAAACTGTCTTCAAGCACACATTCAGAACACCTGCAATATGCGAGAAAGACAGACCTGTCCTGTATCTTCAACAGGCACAGGTACTTCACAAGCAGCTGTTAGAAATTTTGCCCTCTCTCTGCTGTCTCCTGTGTTTGGCTGGCCTTCTTAGTCAGATATCTTGTCTATGCTGTAGATGTCTGTCATGGGCACTGCATGACTATACCTGTCTCGGTCAGAAAGAAAACCATTGCCTCATACCAGATGTAGTCTAGACAGAAAAGCTGGCCACCAGCATGGGCATCAGATGCTTGAACATCAGCTTTTACAAGCTCATTTTGCCTCCTTAGGCAAACATAGCTTAGTGTTGAAATTACAAACATTAATAAGATTTGTTGGGACCAGCGCTGTTAACATCTTTGGCAGCAACATGGACAGTGGGATGGAGTGCACCCTCAGCAAGTTTGCCAACGACACCAAACTGCGTGGTGTGGTCGACATGCTGGAGGGAACGGGTCCATCCAGAAGGACCTGGACAGGCTTGAGAGATGGGCCTGTGCAAACCTCATGAAGTTCAACAAGGCCAAGTGCAAGGTCCTGCACATGGGCCGGAGCAATCCCAAGCACAAACACAGGCTGGGTGATGACTGGATTGACAGCAGTCCTGTGGAGAAGAACCTGGGAGTAGTAGAGGATGAAAAACTGACTATGATCGAGCAGCCGAGAAAGCCAACTGTATCCTGGGCTGCATCAAGAGAAGTGTGGCCAGCAGGTCAAGGGAGGGGACTCTCCCCCTCTGCTTTGCTTTCATGAGACCCCACCTGCCGTACTGCATCCATATACTGGGGCCCCCAGTATAAGAAGGATACGGACCTGCTCAAGCGGGTCCAGAGGAGACCATGAAGATGATCAAGGGGCTGGAGCACCTCCCCTGTGAGGACAGGCTGATAGAGTTGGGGTTGTTCAGCCTGGAGAAGAGAAGTCTCTGGGGAGACCTTATAGCGGCCTTCCAGTACTTAAAGGGGGCCGAGAGGAAAGGTGGGGATGGACTCTTCATAAGTGTAGTGATAGGACAAGGGGTAATGTTTTTAAACTGAAAGAGGGTAGATTCAGACTAGATACAAAGAAAAAATTCTTAGCTGTGAGGGTGGTGAGGCACTGGCACAGGTTGCCCAGAGCAGCTGTGGCTGCCCCTTCCCTGGCAGTGTTCAGGCCAGGCTGGACGGGGCTTTGAGCAACCTGGTCGAGTGGAAGGTGTCCCTGCCCATGGCAGGGGAGTTGGAATTAGATGGTCTTTATGGTCCCTTTCAACCTAAACTATTCTATGTTTCTATAATAATTCCTTCTTTGTGCAAAAAAGACAAAAGAGAAAAAGCAACTGCAACAAAAATTAGCAGCCTATCTTAGAAGATTACCTAGGACTTCTCTGTGTCTGCTTTTATCCCAACTGGATTTCATATTGATCATATCCTCATAAGTGTATTAACCTAGAAAGAAGGGAGGTAGAAGGGACTGAACTTCCACACACACCCCACATCTGCACATTACATAGAAAGAAGGAACATGAGTACAATGCTTTTTCCTATGATTCCCATTGAAGGGTAACTTCAGTACTATCAAGAAAGTTGGAAAATTTTGAGAGCTTCTCTTAAAAGTTTTCAGCATTTTACTTTCCTACTTTCTCCTGCAGCAGCTGTAAAACTGTGAAGTCCTGAGTTATATCAAAGTGTAACCTTAACTCTACAAACATTTTTTATCTCTTACCTTTAATTTTTGGTACACACACCTGATACATGTTTGATATTAGACTGCTCCAGGAATGCTGAATGAGCCACAAGATATATTGTGGCCCTGTACTATTCTATTTCTTCTCTACAAAAGAGATCTCCCACAATTACTTCTCTCACCTGATACTATCTCTCCACCTTTTAATATGAGAAATCCATATTTCTAATTTTGCATCTATATAATTGTTTTTCTTTCATGTTAGTTTTCTTCAAACAGTAAGTTTATCATCTGGACCACAAGCAACTAAGCATAATTCTGATATGCTTAGTCAAGTCTCAGACAATTATACACAATTTATTTTCCACTTTTTATCATTACCAATATGATACTCCATTCTTCAAAACAGAAGTAGTTACAGCACATATTTACAATGCCTTCCATTGACTAGATATATTAACTGAAAAATTATTTACATGGCAGAGTTCTCTCTAGATTTTAGTATTCTTGGTGAACCCATGGAGTGAAAATAGAATGAATGAATGAATGAATGAATGAATGAATGAATGAGATCAAGTTTCTCAATTCTGCATTGAAATACTCAAATGTTTCCATGCTGTTGAAAGTAAACAGTTTATCTATAGATCCCCAAAAGGAGGTTTTATTCAGAAGTAAACATGGACAGGAAGGTGTTCATCCCCCAATAAATTATTCATTTCTTCACTATGCTGCAGGGAGCACATCTTCATTAGGTGACAGATTGTGTTCAGCCAACATGAAGTATTTCTAAACCTGAGCCATACACTAGAACTATAAAGCAATCCAGTTGGAATAGATCAAGGAGTGTGCAGAATTAAGAGCTATAGGAAGATGACTCCTGTTGCAGAAAATACCAAGATGTCATGATTTTTGGCAACTGTAGGCTCAGGATTTTCTATAAGCAGCCTAATTAGCCCTTACAAAGGGCACTCTTTCAGCATATTATGCTAGTGTCTATTTCTGGTCATATTAGCTCTTTTCCAGAGGAAGACCAAGCTAAGAATTTCTAAATCACTAAAATTATGATTTTATTTTTGGCTTATCCGATGCATTAAGGAATGTAATCATTCTTCTGTATAGTAACAGCTGTATAATAAGCGTTGCCTCAAAATGAATGTACCATACGCTTCAATATTAATGAGAGGCAATCTGCCAAGTTAAAGATTTAAAAAAAGACTAAACTTCACTTGCATGCTGAGCCATGTAAATGATTCTCTTATGGGTTTGATAAGATGCTTTAGATATCCCAAAGAAATTCAGTTGGTGACATGTCAAACATCAAGACGGACAGTATCACAGCTGCCATTTTATTTAAAAGGTAAGGTAATATGACAAACATACTAAAAATCTATTTGTCACTGGTTAGAAATTATGCTTACCTTTGGCTAGAAGGATTCCCAAAGGATGCCAATCTGTGTCACTTTTTTTCTGATATCAGTAAAACGGACATACCTGTAAGTCAAATGAGAAATGTTTGGGGTTTTTTATTTTTAAGGGAACACTTAACACTTATGAGATTAAGGCATAAGTAAAACCAATAATCGTGACGTGTAAAACTTCATACATAAAAAAATATCAAGAACAACTCAATGGCTTTAAAATTCAGCACAGTGTAACACATACCACATGTATGTGTGGCAACAGAGATTCTAAAGCTGTTTTCTATGTAAGTTCTTGGCAATAACTAGAAAAAAAAGCTTTACTAGGGGAGGAGGTCATGAACCAGTAGCTGCTGAACCATCAGACTGTTTCATTACAGCTCTACTTCAAAGGTCATGATAAAGGGTCCACAGCTATTCCTAGAATTAAATTATATTGTATTATCTTAATAATATAATATATTTTCAATTACAAGAAAAATTTCTGAAGTTCCATAAAATGTTCTGAAGGAAGATAGTAGTCATTTGATCCAAAAACTTTAGAAACATTTTATAAGAATCTGTGGGATGACTTCCAGACAGTAAACTATCTAAAACCGCAGACTTTACATTTGACATTTCTTCATTTACTTGTGAATGAAGTAAAATAAAAGTATACGTAAAGTAAAAATATTTTATATAGGTCTGATCAACATACAGAGATATAGGACATAAAATTATCATGTACCTATAAAGGTGATTTGCTTTCTATTTTATATCTGCATTAACACAGTTTCAAAAGGAGTTTATTTTAGCATGACCTCAGATAGTAAAATCTAGCTTGAAAATACACAATGTTACATTCATATTAAAAGAGAGGAAAAAGAAAACACACACACAGCAGGAACAGATGTTATTTCCTGTACTAAATCACCACCATAGGGATAAAAATAATTCTTCAGTAAAAATAATTCTAGTATTTTACAGAACAGTGCATACAATGGAAAAGAACACAAAGGCTCAAAATCCTAAATCAGCTGCAAATCTACGTATTATAGACACCAGTAATGTAAACAAACAAAATGCCCATAGAGATGGAATGCAGGACAGTTTATTATTATCCTCATTTTAGGCCTAGCCAGAACTAGACAGACACTTAAATCTACTTTTATCAGTATGCTCACAGCAGCAAATACCTCCTAGTATAATCTAGAGCTGAAGTAAACACGTTCACCAGTGCAGCTTTTGTGGGAGAGCTAAATCAAAATTAAACTATACCAGTAGTAGTGTTGACCAACGTCATTAGATAACTAATCTGTTTGCCAACAGAAGACACAATTAAAAAAACAGGTTGGTTATTAAAAAGAAAAAATCTCATTCCTAACTGAAAAAAAGACATCCAATGAAGATAAATTTCAGTCATAAACCTCATTCAAGTAAGAGCTGAAACTAAAGCCAAATATTTTAATTTTTTTATTCATGAATTCTGGAAGAAATGCAGTAACAACTTCTAAAACCCATATTCCCCAAATTCTAAACAATCCTTGGATATGGTAAAACAAACAAACAACTGAAGAATGAAAGGAAGTCCAGCAGGACAAATTTGTTTTCTCATCTAGATTATTGCTGGGAGAAAAACTATATGTCCTTGTACAAGTTGTAGACTGGCATGTATTTTAGTTTAATCAGACAAACTGCAAGCAGCAGTTTAAACCAAGAATTATCACAATTTATAAGTGATACATGTACTTCTATATAGGTACAAGCCCATACTGTAGTCTCATAGTGTCACTGTTAGACAGACATTTGTTCCAATGTAAAACTGAAATGGAATCGTAAACTAAATCATATACATATACACATACATATATAAACACACAGAAATACTCAATAAGCCTTTCCAGACAAATAACAAAAATCCAACCTTATTTTTCAGTAGGAGCCTCTGGATTCATAATTTATACTATCTGGGTAAGAGGAAACATCAGCACAGAGGGAGAATCAGAAAAGCAAATACATCAGAAGAAAGCAATTGTAAAAATGGAAAATAAAATGTTTACACTGGCTACAGAATCTGGTCAATTTTCTAAAAGAAACTGGTTTCAATTTTTTATAGATAATTTTATGAAAATATTATCACTATTTGTGTTGTCCCATGAAAAAAAAAAGAAAGATGTCTTCATATATTGCAAATCACTAGAAGAGCAAGCTTCAAAAATATCTGTCTCAAAGACAGTTACCAGATTGCTTATTTATGAGAGTAGAAAGTAGAATCAATCCACAGAGTAAAGTAGGATTGGAAGGACTGTATAGCTCTTTTGTGAGGCAGCCAAATGGGAAAATGCTAGGCTTCGTCAACATATTTTATTATTTTTTTAATACAAAGTTCTTATACAGAACACTGCACCAGAAAAAAAAATAATCCAACAACACATCTAAAAATTTAAAAGAAATTTAATATTTTTAAATAATTCATTATTTCATCAGCATTCTCAGAGTTTTCTTCATAACATCTTGCCCCTACATTCATGAAGATCAACAAATGAAAAAAAAAAAAAATACTCAAAACTTAATGTATGTTCCTTCAAACTCACATAAAGTAACAAATTCTAAATCAGAAATCAGGAGTAACTATGCCTATTTTCTTGAATGTACTTTAAAATTTATTTGTAGCATTGAACATCATAAGACTCCTGTGCATAAGTCAATTACTATACATCTCTTTTACCTGGACATCTCATTTCTACTATTCCCAGAGTAGCATCTGGGTTGCTTTATTTCCAGGAAGTAATACATGCATTTCATTTGCTGGTTTGTTAGTCTTTTCTTTTCCTAAATGTCCTTCAGAATTGAAAACTAGAGCCTTGCTTCTACAAGGAATGTCACAGAGGAAGACAACTTGGCCAACAACAAGAGTTTACATAAGAAGATACCTGAAATGCAGGTAGAAGTAATTCCTAAATAGATCAGGAAGTCCAATCCTTATTAGTACTTTTGTTTGACGAAAGGTCAAACATTCACAACTGTTGCCTGCCATACAGTGCAACTCATTTTTAACCATGAAAGCAAAAGTTTTCTGAATGAATCTTTGGTATTATGTCCAATCTTCTAATATTTTCTATGCCTGTTTTGTTATCATAGGAAAAGTGGAAAGAGAGAACAGTATCAGTACCAGACATCAGATTTTCTCCAGGCAAGTTTTCTTTCTCTACCCAAAACAGTTTTGGCTATGCAGAAGAAAGTAATTCCAGAAAGAATGGGCAGACAGGCAGCATCCTAGTCAGGAAAGTCTAGTTCCAAGCAGTCTTTCCACTGTTCTGAAGCACTGGACAGATAGTCACTGCAGAGATAAGCTCCACAGCAAGTTCAATATGTTCAGAATATCAGCTTGCCACAGCCAATTTACAGAGTCAGTCTGATGCACCCTGGACATGCTCAACTCATAGTACAGGAGCCATATTTCTGCTGGGATATCCAAGCGAAAACAAGAGAACTTTAATGGGAAAGAAGCAGTAGTGAATCTCTGAGAGATAGGCCTAGCAAATCTACTTGGAAAGTTTGAGCCAAATTCCCATACATACAAAAAGAAGCTAGATTTATTATATTTGCAAGATGTATAAGAAAACAGTTCCTTACTTATGAAATATAAACCTAATGGTTTCCTCATTAAAGAATATTCATAATAAGAATATAATTATATCTGAGATCTCGTTCACTTTGAAAAAATACAATGTTCAAAATTATATGTAGTCCAGCAAAATAAATTCCACATAGCACCACAAAGACTAGCTGATGCCTTGTTGAGTCATTTGGTCTAGATTGCAGGAGAGTATTGACATTTGTTTCTTCAAGACTCCAAACTTTTAAGAAGAAGCCTTATGCTTTCCTCTACAACTAGACAAAGTCTCATTCATGACGGCAGTAGCTCTTTTGGTAACACTCCACCTAGAGTGAAGAAAGAATTGAAAAATATGGAGAGAAATCAAACAAGCAGACAGACACTTCTGGCCTAGAACTCAAAACCAAATATGGGCAGCAAAGAAATAATTTTATTTCTTCTGTAAGGACAAAGACTGGGCACATGCTCCATTCACTGAGATATGCCAGAAGGTAGACCACTCTCAGTTGCCATTTACATACACACGCCCCAGTCTTATTTGCCAAACTAGACTGAAATAACCAGACATCGAGATTTCTGTGTGAAGAACTGGATTCATCACACAGGGGAAAAAAAAAAAAAAATCTGGCAGGGAACACTGCTGTTAAGGCTTTTTGTATTTAATACCACTTCTGAAACAAAGTAGAGCTCAGTATCTATCTATTAAGCAATCGAGATTTTTTACTTTCTTCATTTCAATGCTTACAATTGCCTCTTCTTGGTATTCAGGTATTAACTACTTTTAAAATAGGGAGCAAAAGAAATTATAAAAACTGCTATAATAAGTTTCCATCTTCAAGTGTGACTACAGTAAAAGAACTGCAGATAAAAGATACAGCTAATGACAAGTAATATTGTATGCATCTTTTTTTCTACCCTGCTCAGTTTTATTGGTAAAACTACTGTCTGTCATATCAGCTTATATATACACCCGTGGTTTCAAGAAAGCCAGAGTATTCTATAATGCTTAAGCAGAATTTAGAGTTAAATACCTAATCCACAATTCTTACTAGTGATAAAGGTTATTGCTGGTGCTACAGATGAATTAAAATTAAATAGTTATTCACAGAAATTAATTTTATAACACAGGCATGAATAAGATGTCCTGATTCACACCAGAATTATAGTTAATATAGTTCACAAGTGGAGCACAACTTTGAAAATATGTACACTCTACATGTACATTTGAAACTATTCAAGAAGAATCCAATCATGACATTTCTCTAGCAAAGACAACTGTATTTCAGACTGCCAGCTGGAAGACAAATGTACAAAAGTAACTCAGACCATTAATTAAAAGTATCAAAAGTACTTGTTTTTAAATGAAAGCCAAATTGCATAAGCTCTTAGATTTTATTTTGGAGTTTAGCCTGTATCTGATCAAGTTCTTACAATGATCCAAGGTTACGCACAGGATTCAGGACCAAACCAAAGTGCTG